CACTTTCAAACCAAGTATCTTTCTGTTGGCCAATTTGAACTTGAATATGAAATCTGTTGCGCAATCTTTCACTCTCGTGCGAAATTCTCAATTGTGACTGGATTTCGTCCGCGAAAATTCCCTGAACAATGGTAAATGTGACCGCAGCTTTAAGTTGCTGCTGCTGCTGGTAGCCTAGTCTGACATGATTGGCTGGTAAACATAAGGCAGAGCCTCTGTGATTGGCTTGTAAAGAGAAGACAGAGCCTCTGATGTGATTGGCTGGTGGGTGGCGCCCTCCAGCCTCACTTACATCAGTGATAGCGTTCAGAGCCGTGTCTGCACCAATGCTGAGATCTGAGCCGGGCACATTGTTGGAGACTGTGGCCGGCACCATGACCATTGGCACACACAACTCATCATAAGTCCCACGGGCTGCTAACAACTCCATGATCCCCAGGAAGGCCTGCAGGGCAGGGCAGAGCCGGGGGTTTAGTGAACCGCCACCGGTGCTGGGAATGGGGATGGAATGAGTGAGACAGACGAGGAAGGAACCGAGTGGAAAGCCAAGGCCATCACGACGGAGAGCATGAGATAGAGGATCCACTCCGTACACACACTTCAAATTGAAACACTAGCGTAAAATACATACACACACATCCTGATGACGTCTGTATAGAAAGAGAGAAGATGAGCCTGAACTCAAAGCATGAGATGCCATTCAAAGCTATTCTGGAATTGTGGGTCATTGCTCAGTCTTTAATGGCACCGTTTGTCATCTCAGCTGTGTGAATGTTAACGTCCTTCATTCAAACGGCTGAAAGATGAACCGGTGCCTGCTAAGAAGGTGATTTTTTTCTGCACCATTTTTCAATGATTTTGGATGTTCACTATGAAAAGAACAGGAGCACATGAAGCTTTAGATGATGCTGCATAGGAAAACATGATGGAGAGGGCAGGCAAGTTAACAACACAGTATCAGTTACTTTTTAAATTAAGAATTAAAATTGTTTTATAAAACTAAATGGACAGACATCAAGGTGCAAAATGATTGATATAGTTTACAAATTAAAATATAAATATCAAATAATGTTTTTAATGTTATAATACCTATGGGTAACACTTTACAATAACCTTTCTTAGTTAACCTTAATTAACTAGCATTAACTAACAATGAGCAATACATTTGTTTCAGTATTTATGAATCTTTGTTAATGTTAGTTAATTAAAATACACCTCTTAGTTCAT